CATTGTCTCCGGTGTTTGTGTTGAGGTTTAACCGGAGGTCATCATTACGTAACGTCACACCTGCCTTTCAAAGGGAAACGATGCACACAAGAACGTAAATAGGGGTCCCAAACTTTCGCTCATGAGACGACGGGAGTCTCTCCTCCCGAAGCATCTGGAGACTATTACAGGTTGGTGAACAGCTGCGCAGAGGAGTGGCTCCTCTTTCTGCCGCCGCAGACTGAAAAACAATAGTGATGTCTGCACAGAACCAAGCCGGGCCGGGCCGGGATGGGCCGTGTGGCGCCACGTTGTCAGACATTCACCTGCAGCCAAACAAAGCCCTGGTTCTTGTTATTTGTCTGGACACGTGCATCCTGCTGTCAGGACACGGAGCTCTCACAGGGTTAAACTCTCACAAACACTGGAGTTCTCCCTGCTGGTTTTTTCCCTGCTGAAGTTATAAATAGAGCCGTGTGTTCAGTCCGGCGGCCGTCCTCCTCCTCCACACCAACGCCTCACCTTCTCCGCTCATCTCCGTGAGCCACTTCTCCCGTCAGGATGCGTTGCGTGAGCTGGTTTTTGTCGGGGACCCTCCTGGCGGTCCTGGCGGCGCGGGGGGCCCTGAGCCAGTGTCCGACCGGGTGCAACTGCCTGAGCAGCCTGCAGCACGTCATCTGCGACGGCGCGGAGCTGAAGAGGATCCCCCAGGTGCCCGAGGCCACGCTTTTGATGAGCCTGCAGAGGAACGAGCTGGGCGTCGTCCCCGCAGGGGCCTTCAGCGACAACAAGGAGCTCAACTCGCTGCACATGCAGAACTGCGGGATCCGGGAGATCCAATCCAAGGCTTTCAAGGGTCTGAAGAAGCTCACCTACCTCTACCTGTCCAACAATAACATCAGCATCATCAGGCCCGGCGCCTTCGAGGACCTCACCCACCTCACGTACCTCTACCTGGACGGAAACCAGATCAGCGAGCTGYTTAAGGGGATCTTCTCCCCGATGGTCAGCCTTTTCTTCCTGCAGCTCGARGACAACCAGCTGCAGGAGCTGAGGCCGGGCACCTTCAGAGGAGCTAAAGTCCTGAGGATGCTGCACATGAGCGGGAACCAGCTGACCACGCTGCAGCCGGGCTCCCTGGACGAAGTGGAGAACCTGGCTCTGCTTCACCTGAGCAGGAACAAGTTGTCCACCTACCCCAGCGCTGCCCTGAGCAAGCTGCGCGTGGTGGAGGAGCTGACGCTGGCCGACAACCCCATGAAGATAATCCCAGAGAACGCCTTCAGGAGCTTTGGGCGCTACCTGGAGAAACTACAGCTGGACAACATGGGCTTAGAGAAGGTCAGTCCTGCTTCCAACAGCTGGATGGAACAAATAAAATAAAAACAAACATCGAGTTTTTTTTAACTTGTTAATTTCTTTGAATCTAAAATACATTTAGAGAGAAAATAATGACAAGCATTTAAAGTATTACCTAGGATTATGGATTAAAGACACTTTGTTATGTCTATGATTAAAAATATTGGTTAAGTTTATGGATTATTGGTTAGGTTTATGGATTAAGGATTGATAAACATTTGTAAGGATTATGGATTAAAAAACAGATTTATGGATTAAGGATTGAAAACATTGGTTAGATTWATGGATTAGGGTTTGAGAAACATTAGTTAGGATTATGGATTAAAGTTTGATAAACATTGTTTAGGATTATGGATTAAGGATTGAAAAACATTGGTTAGATTAATGGATGAAGGACTGAAAAACATTGGTTAGATTAATGGATTAAGGTTTGATAAACACTGTTTAGGATTATGAATTAAGGACTGAAAACATTAGTTAGCTTTATGGATTAAAGACACTTATGTTCAGGGTGAAAAACATTAGTCAGGTTTATAGATTAAAAACCTTTTGCTATTTTCAGGACTGACAAACATTAGTTAGGTTTATGGATTAAGAAGTGAAAAACATTGGTTAGGATTATGGATTAAGGACTAAAAACATTGGTTTAATTAATGGATTAAGGTTTAATAAACATTGTTTAGGATTATAAATTAAGCACTAAAACATTGGTTAGATTTATGGATTGAGTTTTGATAAATATTGGTTAGGATTATGGATTAAGAATTGAAAAACACTGGTTAGGATTATGGATTAAGGACTAAAAACATTGGTTTGATTAATGGATTAAGGTTTGAAAACATTAGTTAGGTTTCTGGATTAAAAGTTGTTTTTATTTTGGTACTAAAGGAGTATTGTTTATATCAGAGGCACTTGGTTAGGTTTGGGCATTAGAAGTACATTATTAAAATAAGCTATTTTTGTAATTAAATAATTCAAGCATTAGTAATCCAGTGAAATAAACTTCAAATGATAAARGTTGAACCGATGAGGAGTCAGAACAAGCTGACACTTCAAGGCATTAAAATGATTTTATGAACCATAAAAATTGCCTTAAGGAAKGTAAAAGGTTTAAATTTAAAGTGTATTTTTGTTTAAACATAATCCTGCTCTTAGTTTGACAACTAGAACCAGACAAATCAAAGTTTTAGCCACTAAAGTTGTTGATATACGAGTGTAATCTGGTTTTTAGACGTCTGAGTTTGTTTTCTGAGGTTAATCCAGCGCACTGAGGTGCTCCAGGTGGGAAACTAAAAAACAAGCTTCTCACGCTGGAATGGTTGGAATCCAGGTGGAAGCAGCAGAAGCTGGCAAAAACCGCACCGTTTAGGCCACTTTTCAGCCAAACGCCAGTATTTATGGGTTGTTTTTGTTTGCTGGACCTCGGCCCAGCATGTCTGAGTCAATTTCAAAAAGTGTTATTTTCAGCGACGAGCGTTTTCCACCTCGGCTGCGAGGGTCCTGTAAACAGGTCAGGAGGGGTTAGGGGACAGGTAAACAGAGGCAGGGTGCTCCACGGAGCARGAAGAGGAGTGTTTTTAGCTTGTTGAATGGACAACGGGTCCCTTTGAAGAGGCAGACGACAGAACGAGCAAAATCATTTCATGGCTTCTGAACACCAGTGGAAATTTCCAAACAAGGCGTCTAAAGCAGAGCTCCTCTCAGGTGCTCGCACTRGACAGAGGTCGGTTCACGTAGCACCTCTGTGAAGCTTTTAGCACCTTTGCAGTTGGGTTTGAAATTAAAGGATAAGGAGGAAGCCTGTGAATGTCAATGTTTACCTACGTGTGGCTGCAGGAGGAAGAATGAGAGGCTTTCATGCCTCCTGTTAAAAAAAAACGGCAGAGATTCCCTCAATCTGTATTCACACAGAACAAGATTAAATTTAAATAATCCGCATTTTTATTTATTTTTCTAGTTCTCTGACGGGGCCTTTAACGGCGTGACAGCCATCAGATTTCTTCACCTGGACAACAACAACCTGAAGTCTCTTCCCAAAGACCTGCAGTTTAAAACCATCACCAACATCACCCTGCAGAACAACCCCTGGAGCTGCACGTGTCAGCTAGCTCCACTGCTCAGGTGAGACTCACCTGAGACACGTTTCTACCTGCGGACTCAACGTAACCAGCCGCTTCTAACTCCCCTCTGATCTGATCTGTGCCTGCAGGTGGATGGACTTGAGAAAAATCCGCCCGGATGCAGTTTGTGCGTCTCCGTCGTCTCAGAAAGGCAAACCAGTCAGAGAAAGCGCCACCTTCAGGCGCTGCAGGATCAAGACCAAACAGAAAAGCAAGAAGGACCCGCTCTAATGAGGCTCACAGGTATCRGACTATGAATGAGCTGCGACTGTGACGAAGCTAATTAAAATCATCATTAGCATCATTATCTTTACTGGTGAGGGGCGGGGTAACATGATAAACCTGGGGGAACTCACTAAAGTAGGTATAAATAGTGTTGTATAAAGTACCACAAAGTGATACTTGAGTAAAAATACAAGTATCTTACCAAAAAATTACTTTGATAAAAGTTAAAGTCTCCTTTAGGAATATTATTTGAGTAAAAGTCTTAAAGTATCTGATATTGTTTGTACTTAAGTATTAAAAGTAAAAGTATTGATTTAAAATGAGTAGTTAGATTTTCTTAAAGGACATTTATTAGGAGGTGACCTCCCAATAAAACTGCAGAAATGACTGTTGTATTAAAATAATAAATTTATGTTAAATTTAGTCCAGCTGTTTCAGTTTCTATACATATATCAAGGGTGACCAAAAACTTTCCCCAAAATGAAATCTATCTGAGGGCTGCGGCCAAATGCAATAATTTAATTCATGAAATACAAATACTTCTTAAGTACAGTCCTTTTATTTTAATGATGATGTCCTGCTGGAGTCTGACATGATTTGTTTGTGTACAAACTAATACAGCATCAGAATTTTAAATATTTATACTTCTCATTCAACCACAGTTAAATTCAGTCTATCTAGGAGGCACAGTTTATATGGATAGTATTTATTTTTTACAATAACAAGCTGGAATGAAAACAAGCAAAAATGAAATAAAACTAACAACTTTCTACTTCTTGTCTTTTTAAAAAATGTAAGGAGTAGAAGTAAAAAGTAGGCTGAAAAATAATTACTCAAGTACAGATACCCAAGAATTCTACTTACGTACAGTAAAGAAGTATTTGTACTTGGTTACTTTACAACTCTGGTTATAAAGMGGGGTGAGGTGGGCAACAGTATGATTTTACAAGCCGTATGCTCAAAAACAGGGTCATCAGGGCTCTAGACTAACTTWTTGACTGTTTTTTTCTTAATTGCACCCAAATTTTCAACAGCGTTGCATTAACATTGCAGTTTTACAAGTTTGTTTTTTTTATTATTAATTTTTTAAGCCAATATTTATTCACAAATATTAGTTAGTTAGTCTAGTAAACATAAAGGTCTTTATTTGGACCAGAATGGTACAAAACATAGAACTTACTGAAAAGTTTTTAAAGTGATTTTATGACCTGAATTTTTAACGTAAACATCTCAAGATAAACGAAATGAAAGGAATTCTAAATTATAAGTGAAAATGTTTAAAGGTTGAACATTTTATAAACATCTCAAACTGAACGTTTCATGGTTAAATGTCTTTTAGACCACATGTGCCCCTCAGATGCCCAACTCCTGTGAACACACAACGATCGACAGCAGAAATATTATTATGAGTTTTTATTAAGAGTGCAGCTTTTTTTAATAAAAATTATTTTAATTAGTTGAATCTTATGTATCTCTAACTGAAATAACTAATATGTCTAGTCATAAAMCCAGTTTCAGATACCTGGCATGTAAATGTGGTGAAGCTGATTATGTGTAAAAATGGCCTGCCATACAAATGAGCTTCTTTGCGCGGCTGAAATGATCTGCAGCGCTCACAGAGCAGCACCTGACAGTTAAACAGTTAAAAAACTCAGCCACACGTCTCATTCAGTGAGACTGAAGCTGAAAACTTGTTTCTCCACCTCACTCGTGAACAAAACCCTGAGACGCCTCAACTTCAGATTAAAACACAAATGTTTCAAAGATACACGACTAAAAACGTCTGAGCTCCACAGCTGCTGCTTCCTGTAAAAAAAACACTGAACCGCTACACTAACACTTCCTCTGTAAATACCTGAGGTGTGATTTTATCACCTCAACAGTCCCGAGGAGGGTTCGGTGGTTTTCTGCCGAGGCGACGCGACCCTGGACGAGCAGATTTAGATGCGAGGTGGTTCTGTGGGCGGCTCAGATTTAGCTTCACAGTTTAATTTGCGAGCTAACCTCAGTCTGAATGTTGGCCCTGAAAGTCTGGTACACCAAGTCCAGGTCCAGGTCCTGGTCCTGGGCTCTTTGGTTTGTTTTGGCTCCTGACTTTTCTCCTCTCTCTGCAGTAAAAGGAGTCCTGGTGTCCAACGACAAGGAGAGCGATTGACTCTACTCTGAAAGACTGTCACAGGTTTTATTCTGCAGTTATATCAAAGACAGGACAATGAACGGATGGTTTCCTCAATAATTTAGAGTTTCTCTGAAGAATCTGCTCCACTTCTGAGGCGCTCATATAACCTGCCTTCAGGCGGTTCAGTCCTTTTATTTTTCAGCTTTTTTTCCTGTAGAATCATAAATCTGTACGTAGTTCGTTTCTGTTCTTAGAACAGAAAAGAAGAGGATGGATTTCAGTTCAACAAACATTTGTGTTAAAAAAATAATAATAAAGATGGGAGAACTATTTGCTTGTTGAATGTTTATTCAGAATCTTTATATTTCTTAGACTTTTGGAAGCGATCACATCCAATAAATCTTTTACAAAAGTAGTATTTGTTGTCTTTATTGAAAGAACGTGTAGCTAAAAGTTCTGCTTTAGGATTTGTCTCCCTCTTGTGTTTGAAAACTGACCTGCATAAATAAATTTAGAAATTAAAGCTTAACCACTCATTGTTTAGCCTATATTTTGTTATAAAGAATGCACTAAATTTAGAAARTGGCTTGGACAAGTTGAAATGTAGATGTACTCACTGTTAACTTTTTGATGCCCATTACAGAAACAATTTTCTTCACCAGGTCAGAGGGGCACGGAGAACCAGCCATGACTCCTACGGTACGAAAATATAAACAAATCTGACTAAAACAAGAATAAAAAAAATACAGTTTAATTGATTAAAATGTCAGAAATATCTCTCTCACCACATTCAACAGAAGACAAGTCATATTTCTTCAAGTCGGGCTGGTTCAGCATGTCCACYTACATGGTGGGAGTCCCGTAGATCACCGTGCACCTGAGAAGGAAAACATCAACAWAAAATCTACATAAGAGCTTTTTTACTAAAATACAGAAACAATAAGTCGATTCTGAGATTTAAGACAATTTAATTCACTATTTAATTCACTGAAAACTTAAAAACAAGCAAAAAAAAGACAAAAAAATTGTTTTTAGTTCACCAGGTTCTATCTAACACTTTGAATCAGGTGTTTTATATTTAGTTAGTATTTAATGTGAACTAACCAGCACAGGAAAGCACGTCGCCCACCACCTTTAGTTTTAAATTGTCTCATAATGAGAAATGACGAAGTTGTAGACATATTGATCAAACCTGTTCTGTCATACTGCCAGTCTTCTCCCTCGAAACATAGGTTGAGGATGATTCTCAGTTTCTGGCGTTACCTTTCTTTCTCCAAAGCGGCGAGGTTGGCTCGTCCGTCGTAGCTGGCAGAGGGAAAGARCACGGTGGCGCCGTGCATGGCCATTATGAGCCCTCCACCCACAGAACCYAAGCAGTGGTACAACGGAACCGGCAGACAGATACGAAGGACGGGCTGCAGGGAAACACAACCAGAACATGAAATTTAAAAGTAAGTAAAGTTTCATCAGGGCTGAAATGAACAGATTTCATGATTCTGTAATGAAAGAAAACATCATCTTCAWAATGAAGAAAGTTTGGATCTTTTCATGACACCTTTCACGTTTCTAATAAACGTCGTGTCTAAAGCACATCATCCACGAACTTGAATAAAACTTTTAATGTAAGTAGTTTATTAACTTATTTAAAACTGCTCACCATCCAGGTGAATCCCATTCTTCTTCCGATAAAGTAAGAGTTGTTGATGATGTTGTGGTGAGAAAGAGTGGCTCCTTTCGGCGTCCCAGTTGTTCCCTGAAAACATGTTTTAATGTTCGATTACAGGTTTTATCAAACTGTAAACAAAATAAAAAATGTATGCTTTAAACATWAATCTGTGATGTTACACTACAGATAAAACTGATACGTTGTATGGTTGAGAATTTGTTATTTTTAAATAAGTCTAATATGACAGGATAAAAGCTTTAAACCAGTCCAGCAGAATTAACTCTTTATTTGAGAAAAGGAAACTGAATTTATTGTTTTACTGAATCATTAAACGATTTTAATCTGGTCTGGAAGCTTCATTAGAAAACTCATATTTTTCCTGATCAGTTCATTTAAAATAAATGTTTTTCTTTGTTAAATATAAAAATGACTCCAACTGTTAACAAGGAAACTTGAATCATATTTAAATTTGAAAAAAAAAGTATTGCAGTTTTAAAATAAAGAAATTGTGATTTCTATATGTGTTCAGTTTGAACACAGTGCTGAATTTGTCGAAGTAGCTAAAAATGACTCTTAAAATTAAAACATGCAGAAAAGATGCTGAAATGAGCAAAACATGAGATAAAAGCAGCAGAAAACAAGTTAAACTCAACTAAATAAATAGTAAAATGAACAAAACAATAGTTTAAAGTAACTAAACTGATACTAAAGCGTTACAGAAACCCACCCAGTGGTTCAAGAGATATTTTGCTAACAGGCAGGTAATGCCTGTGTAGCATTCAGGAGATTGTTTTAGACAAAACTCTTTCACCACTAAATATTTTAGTACAACATCTATAAAACTGTCTGATAGTTAATCAGCTGTAGATGTTCGTCCAGTTATTATTTTCTGACAGTTTTAAATTAATCCCTTCGTTGACTAATAAAAATAAACAAAGGAACATTAAGACCCCGTCTCTCCCCTGCTGAGCGATGATTACCGAGGTGAACTGGATGTTGATGGGGTCGTCAAAACAGATCRTCTTCTGCAGATCCTGCAGCTGCTGCTGGTGTCGGCTGGTTCCGGCCTGCATCACGTCTTCAAAGTGAAACATTCCTGGCTGTCGGGCGTCCAGAGTGATGATGGAGCGCAGTTCTGGGAGCCTGGGGGGGGGACGGTACATGTGGGTGAAAGTTCAGGATCCTAAACCTGCAGCTGGTCTGTGTCTGACGGGGGGTTCTGTTCTGAGTTGACAGAAACTGCATGTGGAGAGGTCAAAGTTCAGACCCGCAGAACATCTACAAAGTGCAGATGAGATATAAATTAACCCTCAATTCATATTATGAAATGAGGAGGGGAGAACTTATTTATACTGGCAGAGCAGGTTGGAAGATGATRATTTGATATTATTTATTATTTTTTAAAGGGATCCCCGATTAGTTGTAACATTAGACTTTATTCATAAACATATACTTTAAACCATGTTGGTGGTGCTGGTAGTTCTCGCCCACCAGCAGTTCCCCAGCACCAGTTTGGAATTTACTCACGGTACTTAAAGCTCTGRATCATCCTCCACTTGAGCCTCTGGCACAGGCGGACCTCTACTGTCTTTCTGTTGGTGAGCTACATGGTTTAATTCCAGTGTTGTATAAAGTAACACACAGTGATGAGTAAAAGTACAAGTGTCTTACCAAAAAATGACTTTGGTAAAAGTTAAAGTCTCCTTTAGGAATATTACTTGTGTAAAAGTTTTAAAGTATCTGATATTTATTTGTACTTAAGTATTAAAAGTAAAAGTATTGATTTAAAATGAGCAGTTGGATTTTCTGTAATGACGTTTATGGTAAATGGTACTGAACTTATAGAGCGCTTTTCAAGTCCCAGGCCAAATACAATAATATAATTCATGAAATACAAATACTTCTTAAATACAGTCCTTTTATTTTAATGATGATGTCCTGCTGGAGTCTGACATGATTTGTTTGTGTACAAACTAATACGGTAACAGAATTTTATGTATTTATACTTCTCATTCAACCACAGTTAAATTCACTCTGTCTAGGAGGCACAATTTATATGGATAGTATTTATTTTTTACAATAACAAGCTGGAATGAAAACAAGCAAAAATGAAATAAAAGTAACGACTTTCTACTTCTTGCCTTTTTAAAAAATGTAAGGAGTAGAAGTAAAAAGTAGGCTGAAAAAATAATTACTCAAGTAAAGTACAGATACCCAAAAAGTACAGTTGTTAAAGAGGTTTTAATCTTTTCAGTTATGTCCTATTATGTACTTTGAAAGATTGAAGTGTTGTCTCACAGCCAAGTTGTAAGTTTCTGTTTTTCTCTGGTTCACTGCTGGTGAGCTATTTTTATTTGTGCGAGCAGAAATGCAGCGTACTCAAAGAACCTTRGACCTACAGTTGTTCTTAAGTGTGTTGTGCACCAAATATGGTATACAATTTTGAAACTTGCTGTTCCTATTGCCCCTCCCTTTGCTTCATTAAAAGAAACTCTTTGCAGCACAAGCTCCGAGAGCTTAGAGAGACTTTATCTAAGTATCAAGTGCCTTCAATCTCTCCCTTTTGCAAAAGGGTGTTTTATTTAAAGGTATATCATCTGGTTAGCCCTTTCAACAGTAACAAAATATTTCTACTTAGTTACTTTACAACTCTGTTTAATTTTTACTCTCAGTCCTGAGAAACATTATAATCTCATCCAGGGTTTAGATTTCAGAAACTTGCTAAACCTTTAACAGTTTAACCTTCTGCAGGAAACAAAAATCTGAAGAAACTGAAAGTGAGAAACTGAGTAAACAATAAAGACCAACTAAAAGCTAAAGAAAGAAAAGCTAAGCTTAAATCTAAAAGTAGCAGAGTGCTAACTAAATTCTAAAAGTAGAATAAAGTTAGCTAAATGTTAACTGTAACAGAACGGTAGTTTAGTTAGATGTGTTTTCTTTYACAGTTAAACTGAACCTGGACTTGGTACCTGGCGCTCCGGATGTCTCCGGGGACGGCCGTCTCGATTTCAGGACAGATCTTCCTCAACATGTCGCAGTATTTCTGAGTCTTAAACTCCGTGGGACAAACYACAGCTTTACACCCAACCTGTCAAAAAACAAAAGCATCTTGATGAGATTCGATTTCTGTGGTTCAAAATCAACCATTTCTGTAGAAGAAACGCTCACGTTCCGTAAGGCGAACTCCACCTCCTGCAGCTGGTACGCTGGATTTACAGACACCTGAGGAAACAAAACAAAAACTAAAGATTGGATTGTTTTGTATTTCTTTATCAGGTTTTCTTTATTTAAATACATGTACTTGTCCTGAACACAAAACTAAGTTAGTTTTTTTACCTATTTAGTTATCATCAACACATTTTATAAAATAATCAAATCTGTCAAAACGACTGAAAGTCAGAGTGTAAACTAGACATGGGTTTTTATGATGTAAAAACAAGTGTGCATTGCCACGTAGCATGTCATTGCAGCATGGCTGTGCCTGTAGCATTGGACTTGCAGAATGAACTTTGACCAAGTTCAAATGTGTTTTCTATACCAGCTTGTGCSTGTCACGTCAGCAGGTGTTTGTAATTAAGGTAACTGTGTGACAATAAGAAGTTTGAAGAGATTTTTGTTAAAGTTGCAGTAGCTCGATTTGAACCCTGAACTCCCGCATGAAAGCCCACAGTGCTCATCATGAGACTATAGGAGACGTGGCAGAGGACAAACCCAGGGATTGGATTGTATGTATACAGAAAAAGTTTACCTTGCCAATGCAATTATTGACACTTAAGTGCAATATATTACAGCAATAGGACAACATAAAGACAGTATTACAGTAAAACATCAAAATACAATCATATTAATATTGTAATCCCTGAACTACTGAGTTTAAATTTTATGAAACTATGGTGCAGTACCATATTGTGTAGATGCAGCAGGGGGCAGTATTGGACCAATACAAGGCTCCATTGACAGCCATTATAATTTATGAAACATTAATATTTCAAAAACTAAGTTTTACAGGCACCAAAAGGCATAGCCATCATTTGGCACAGAGGCTTTACAGATATAAATTACAATGGCAGCTCTAGGACAAAGTATGCAGGAGGAGAAGCATGGCAAAGTTGAGATGACTTGGATGGGAAACGAATCACAATAGTGTGCATTGTATTGGCAATGCACACTGATAAAGAGAAACAGGAAAACAATAGTGTGCATTGCATTGGCAATGCACACTGATAAGGTTTAATTCTGACAGTTTCAGCTGTAGGACTGGTTTCTACAAAACTCACCAGCACAATTCCAGCTTTAGCGGTTGCGAACTGGAACAGGACCCATTCGTAGGTGTTGGGCCCCCACATGCCAAGCCGGTCTCCTTTAGTGAGTCCGAGAGCCAGCAGTCCTGCAGCAGCCTGGTCCACCTGCAGACACACAGACCCACGTCAGGAGCTGAAGACGCTGAGGCTGATTTTACAGCCAGACTTGGATTTATTAAGTTCTGAGCTGAAATCAAAGCGTCGTTCTGCCTTTTAGAACAATATCCTGATGCATCTCAGTAATCCAGGTAGAAAAAAAACAACAGATTACGTAGGTCCTCTGGATGGTTCTTCTTCTTTAACGAAAATGTTTTTCTCCTCCAAGAGACTTCTTCAGTCTGAGGGGTTTCAGGTGAACTCAGCCTGATAAACAGTGCCTCCACATGGTGGACAAACAGGTTTAATGTTGTAAACTGTTTGTTCACATGCAAAAGTGGACTGATGATCATTAGGGTCCTGATTTTTTTTTAATTATTATTAGTCTTTATTTTGTATTTAATTTACTGTATTTCACCCATGACACTCACCAAACATGTGCAATATACCAAACATCATCTCTCCTTACATTCTGTACACAACTTCTTAATATTTCTATTTATTTTTCATTGTACATTGTTTATGTGTACATAAGTGTGCTTATTTTTGTAATCCTGGGTNACCCATGACACTCACCAAACATGTGCAATATACCAAACATCATCTCTCGTTACATTCTGTACACATCTTCTTAATATTTCTATTTATTTTTCATTGTACATTGTTTATGTGTACATAAGTGTGCTTATTTTTGTAATCCTGGGTATTTATACTTATTTTATTCTTATTTCTTTCTTTTCACATTTCTCTGATCTGAACGGTTGRAGCTGTAATACCTGTAATTTCCCWCAGGGATCAATAAAGTATTCTGATTCRGGTTATCACTATTGTTCAGACAGCTGAGACATACTCACAATAACAGCATGTRAATTGTAAAAATGGTAGGTAAAAGATGCTAAAAGCTGGCTACAATTAGCAGATGTCAAGCTAAAAGCTAAAAGTATAAATAGGCTGAGTAAAAAAAAGCAAAATGCTGGTTCAAAGATAAAAGTAGCAAAAGGCTACCTAAAAGCTACAACTAGCATAATGAAGCTAAAATCTTAGACTAGAATAAGACGTTAAAAGCTTAAAGTAGCAGAATGGAAGCTACAACTATAAATAGCAGAATAGAAGCTAAAACCTTAAAATTAGTAGAATAAAAGCTACAAGCTTAAATGAACAGAATGGAAGCTAAAACTGTAAATAGCACAACAGAAGCTAAAGCCTTAAACTAACAGAATAAAAGCTAAAAGCTTAAATTAGCAGAATAGAAGCTAAAAGTTTAAAGTAGCATAAGAGAAGCTAAAAACCTAAACTAGCAGAATAGAAACTAAAAACTTAAACTAACAGAATAGAAGCTAAAAGCTTAAACTGGCAGGATGGAAGTTAAGACTGTAAATACGGTAGAAGAATAGAAGCTATAAGTTTAAACTACAATAAAAAGACAAAAACAGCACCAGTAGCTAAAGCAGATTTTAAAAAATAAAAAAAGACTTTAATGATCTGTGTCTATCAGGGAAATACTTGTAGACAAAAGATAAATATTTACAAAAGTATAAAAGTTACATGAACAAAGACTTGTAGCACCCATTCCTCTGAATGACCTGAACATTTCGACACAAACAGCTAAAATGACAAAGTCTGCACAAGTAGTTCGATTTAAAATAGGCACATAAAGATAAAAATGGAACATAGGGTGAATGCTGACTCAGCGTTTGAACAACAGTAAAACACAGTGAAGAAGACCAGGGCGTCTTTTGATTTTACAATACCCTCCGAGCATCACCTTATGGAGTTAAAGAATAAACAGGTTTATTTAACCTGTTTATTCTTTAACTCCAGAATAAACAGGTTTATTTAACCTGTTTATTCTTTAACTCCAGAATAAACAGGTTTATTTAACCACGACTCACATCTTGTTGGAACTCTGCGAAGGTTTTGCGAACCCCGTCCTGCAGGAAGACCATGGCCTCCCTGTCGGGCCAGCGCTCCACGGTGCGCCGCAGGGCCTCGCCAACCGTGTCGCATCTCAGCGAGACGGACGATGTGCCGTGGGCGTAGCTGGTGGTGAGASTGGGGACGATGGGCGGATGTTCCACGTGGATGAAACTGAAGAGATGAAGAACATGGAGCTTAAAAAACACGTTTATAGACATTTAAATACAAAAACAGCTTTAAGTCAATTAATTTTATAAATACTGAGCTAAAACTTGGCGTGGTAGTAGCTGAGAGTGATTCCCAACACATGTGGTGGTGCAAGGTGGAGGGTGACATGCATTCCTTCAACAGACTCTATTTTTATTTTGTTTTCTCTTCCTTTTTGTTTGACTTAGGTTGCTGCTGCACCTCTAAAGGAAAGTCTTGTTTTATGTGGATTTAAACCCTAAAAAAGCTCAAACAACAGAACCGTAAGCTCTTCAGGCCGGGTTTTGACACAGGATCTTGTGATTTCTTTGTGGTTCTGTAGAGGAAGACATCTGACACCACACAACTCAAGACGTCATCATGAGGCCCCACTTCCTGAGGGGTGGGGTGACTTCCAGTCCTGCCTGCAAGCTTCACTGCTTCTGAGTTCTGCATACTTTTAATCTCTCTTCTCACGTTTCATGTCTTTCTGTGCAGATAAGCTCCAACAGACAAATCCTGAGAAACTACAGTGAGACGAGAACAATCAATGTTTAAGTACAAATCTTTTCTATGTGGGTAAAAGGTTCAGATCAAAGTCCAGCTGTGGCAGATTTTAGATATCAATGGAGTTGTGCTGGAACTAATACTTTTAGGTTTAAGCCAGTAATTCATGACATACCTTAATGACCTAGGTTTTCATGACATGCTGTTTATCGGCAGAGTGATTATAGTCAGAACAAAATTTGCTAACAAGTCATTCTTAGATATCACTTGTGTTTATCTTTGTGTTTTCCCTTGACCTTGTATGAAATCTTGCTAAGATGACATAATAGTGTTTGTTAAACAATATACATATATGAGGCCTCTCAGCTGCATCAGGAGAGACAGTGAGAGGCAGAAGCGCAGAGACAGAGGAGCAGAGGGGCAGTCTCTATGTTGTTCTCTGTGTTTCCTGTTGATGCAATCAAACTCAGCTGATCATCCCAC